CGGAATTCTCTGTGTGGGACAGGAAGTGTGGCTGCACCTCGAACGAGCGGACACTAAACATGCCCCCGCACCAACACATCAATAGCGGACATATTAATTATTACGAAGGTCGTACCATTTAACAGGCGCCTGTGACTTCATTATCCTTTGATTATGAAACTGAAAAACAATTTTCAATGCATCATTTTCTTTCGTTATTCACTATCACTGAAGGTGAATTTTCCGTTACAGTTATCAGAAAGTAACATTTCTTGAGCTTAAACTAATTTAGTTGCCTAAGGTGGTAAAGTATTTAACCTGTTATACCTTAACTGTTCTTAAAGGTATAATTAGGCTAACATGCTTTAGAAATTAACGACGGTATTAGCATATGTTAATTTTATTAAGAGGAAATAGATTTTTTTCATAAATATAAACGCAGCGACTATTGGAAAAATTGGCTCTTGACATTTAGGCCAAGGTCTGCGGGTATGGCTAGAGAGCGCACGCACACACGCACACGCATGCACACACACACACACCATGCACACACACACACACCATGCACACACACACACACACCATGCACACACACACACACCATGCACACACACGCATGCACACACACGCATGCACACATACTGGATTTGAAACTGAGTGCCCAAATGAGCCACAGAGATATTAGAAAGAACTTTTTTAGTGTCAGAGTGGTTGAGAAATGGAACGCATTAGGAAGTGATGTGGTGGAGGCTGACTCCATTCACAGTTTCAAGTGTAGATATGATAGAGCCCAGTAGGCTCAGGAACCTGTATACCTGTTGATTGACAGTTGAGAGGCGGGACCAAAGAGCCAGAGCTCAACCCCCGCAAGCACAACTAGGTGAGTACAACTAGGTTAGTACACACACACACACACACACGCACACACACACACACACATTTGTTTCCGCCGGACCAGGCGGAAACAATGGGCAAACTTTCTTTCACCCTGATGCTCCTGTTACCTAGTAGTAAATAGGTACCTGGGAGTTAGACAGCTGTTACGGGCTGCTTCCTGGGTGTGTGCGTGTATATACAAGAGTTTACATTCTTGTAAAGCCACTATTACGCGTAGCGTTTCGGGCAAGGTCCTTAACCCTAATTTCCCCGGAATACGAACCCGCCAAATCTTTTAACAACCAGGTACCCATTCACTGCTGGGTGAACAGAGGCTACAGTTAAGGATTGGCGCCCGGTCAATCCTCCCCGGCCAGGATTCGAACCCAAGGCAAGGCGCTTGCGAAACGCCAGGCGAGTGTCTTACCACTGCGCCACGGAGACTGCTGAGAGTGACTGAGAGAGTGTACTCACCTAGTTGTACTCACCTAGTTGTGTTTGCGGGGGTTGAGCTCTGGCTCTTTGGTCCCGCCTCTCAACCGTCAATCAACAGGTTCAACCGTGTGTGTGTGTGTGTGTGTGTGTGTGTGTGTGTGTGTGTGTGTGTGTGTGTGTGTGTGTGTGTGTGTGTGTGTGTGTGTGTGTGTGTGTGAAAAATTAGTTAGTAGTTAGTAACCGTAGATTGATTGACAGTTGAGAGGTGGGCCGAAAGAGCAGAGCTCAACCCCCGCAAGCACACGTGAGTACATACACACACACACACGTGCGCTCTCCCCTCCCTTCTTCCGCTTTATGTCTCCTCTTATTCTCTCAATCTATATATTGTGAAAAGATGGAAAAGTGCTCAACACTCTACGGAAAATAGGCAGGCAGCGTGGCAGACCCCGACCAGCTTATTACAGTCCCACACCACACATGTGTCATCTGAAAAAGTTGCGAGAAGCTAGCCCCACACATCTGCCCTCCTTTCTTGGATAGATATTCACACAGATATGTGAGACTAAGTTCCTTGGCACTGATCAGTACATTCTAAATTTTTGTCGTGGATAGTAGATGAAATACCTGTTCCTTGCTCACATCTTTTTCTTTTAATTTCTCTTAAATTTAAAAAATGTGTTTAACCTGCACGCCATGCCAGGGCGGCCAGGCGTTATGTGTGTGTGTGGAGGTCAGAGCCAGAGATTTTCCCCGTCTCCCTCCGTATTCATTCCATCCATATTTCGCTAGGCTTTCGCAATGCAGGTCAAGCTTCAAGGATGTCTCTCTCTCTCTCTGTCTCTCTCGCTTCAAGAATTTATCTCTCTCTCTTTCTGTCTATCTCTATCTGTCTCTCACAACACAGCTTCTTATCCTTATATCAGAGCCCCTTGTCCTCATATCTCAGCTCCGTTTCCTCATATCTCAGCTTCTCGTACTCATATCCTAGCTCATTGTCCTCATATCCCAGCTCATTGTCATCATATCCCAGCTAGTTGTCCTCTTATCCTAGCTCCTTGTCCTCATATCCCAGGTCCTTGTCCTCATATCCCAGTTTATTTTCCTCATATCCGAGCTCCGTGTCCTTATATCCCAGCTCCTTGTTCTCATATCCAGCTCCGTGTCCTCATATGCCAGCGTGTCCTCATATCCCAACTCCTTGTCCTCATATCCCAACTCCGTGTCCTCATATCCCAACTCCTTGTCCTCATATCCCAGCTCCGTGTCCTCATATCCCAGCTCCGTGTCCTCATATCCCAGCTCCGTGTCCTCATATCCCTATCAATGAAGTCATACTAGATGAGCTCTCTCAAGATCACCTTACCTCTCCGTGTGGTCCTCAGCTGTCTTTAGGCTACAACATTGGTTCATGTTTCTCACTATGGCTCAATTCAACGTTTTCTCGATTTACCACTTCGTATAATATGCTATTTTTACGAAGTTTTTTTCTGGTTTTGCCTAACCTACAGCCGGTCGGCCGAGCAGACACCACGCTGGACTTGTGATCCTGTGGTCCTGGGTTCGATCCCAGGCGCCGGCGGGAAACAATGGGCAGAGTTGTTTTCACCCTATGCCCCTGTTACCTAGCAGTAAAATAGGTACCTGGGTGTTAGTCAGCTGTCACGGGCTGCTTCCTGGGGGTGGAGGCCTGGTCGAGGACCGGGCCGCGGGGACACTAAAGCCCCGAAATCCTCTCAAGATAACCTCAAGATAACCAGAAGCGTACGAACCCAAGCAACCCACCTAACGTATCAAGGTATCAAATATTATGGAGCATTGATTTGAACTAATATGACTTGAAATGAGTTTGAAGCCTATGGTGAAGACCTCACAGAGTCATGGACATACTCGTCCGTTAGAATTGTGTTCGGAAGATAGTGAGAATGGCCGTGCCGGGACGGTGGAATATTTTTGAATTGTCGATCGCGGTGGGACGACCAGAGAGGCGGAGTCGCCATATTGGCGGGAAAGGCACCGAGAGAGACGATGGTCACGTGACGTGCGCCGCCCAATCAGAAAACTGTATAAATGATGACGTAATTTATGTAGCCATTAGCAAGCAATCAAATTAATTATTGACATAATTTCGGCAGCTAATATCAGGCTCATAGAAAATGCGAAGCGTCAGTGACGCGCTGAACGGCAAGGAGGGAGGACGCTGCGTGCGATCCTCCCACTGAACACTCGGTTATTTTCGTGCTACGGTCGTAGGCGATGTTGTGTTAGAGGAAACAAGGACCTGAGAGTGTTAGGAAGCGACTTGAGGAGGCTGGAGCCAGGATCTTGAGGAGAGGAGCGTGGAAAACTGGAGAAGACGGGTCATTGCTGGCTTCCCGCCTGGTAGGTGCCCACGGCCGCCTCAGTTATGGCGCCTCACAAACCTTTTATTTGACAATATTTGAATATCCTGGGTGTAGGTGGCGGTGGAACAGTTAGTGGTGGGTGTAGGTGGCGGTGGAACAGTGGGTGTAGGTGGCGGTGGAACAGTTAGTGGTGGGTGTAGGTGGTGGTGGAACAGTTAGTGGTGGGTGTAGGTGGTGGTGGAACAGTTAGTGGTGGGTGTAGGTGGTGGTGGAACAGTGGGTGTAGGTGGCGGTGGAACAGTTAGTGGTGGGTGTAGGTGGCGGTGGAACAGTTAGTGGTGGGTGTAGGTGGTGGTGGAACAGTGGGTGTAGGTGGCGGTGGAACAGTTAGTGGTGGGTGTAGGTGGCGGTGGAACAGTTAGTGGTGGGTGTAGGTGGTGGTGGAACAGTTAGTGGTGGGTGTAGGTGGTGGTGAAACAGTTAGTGGTGGGTGTAGGTGGCGGTGGAACAGTGGGTGTAGGTGGCGGTGGAACAGTTAGTGGTGGGTGTAGGTGGTGGTGGAACAGTTAGTGGTGGGTGTAGGTGGTGGTGGAACAGTTAGTGGTGGGTGTAGGTGGTGGTGGAACAGTTAGTGGTGGGTGTAGGTGGTGGTGGAACAGTTATTGGTGGGTGTAGGTGGCGGTGGAACAGTTAGTGGTGGGTGTAGGTGGTGGTGGAACAGTTAGTGGTGGGTGTAGGTGGTGGTGGAACAGTTAGTGGTGGGTGTAGGTGGTGGTGGAACAGTTAGTGGTGGGTGTAGGTGGTGGTGGAACAGTTATTGGTGGGTGTAGGTGGTGGTGGAACAGTTAGTGGTGGGTGTAGGTGGTGGTGGAACAGTTAGTGGTGGGTGTAGGTGGTGGTGGAACAGTTAGTGGTGGGTGTAGGTGGTGGTGGAACAGTTATTGGTGGGTGTAGGTGGTGGTGGAACAGTTAGTGGTGGGTGTAGGTGGTTGTTGCCTGTAGGTGGTTAGGGGCCTGACACCTGAGTGGACAGCGCTTCGGATTCATAGTCCTGAGGTTCTTGGACAGCGCTTCGGATTCATAGTCCTGAGGTTCTGTGTTCGATCCCCGGTGGAGCAGGAAACTAATGGGCAGTGTTTTTTTTACCCTGATGCTCCTGTCACCTAGCTGTAAATAGGTACCTGGGAGTTAGACAGCTGCTACAGGCTGCTTCCTGGGGTTGTGTAACAAAAAAGAAGCCTGATCGAGGACCGGGCCGCGGGGATGCTTAGCCACGAAATTATCTCAAGATAACCTCAAGATTGTGGAACAGTTGTTATTGGGTGTAGGTGGTTGTGAAACAGCTGATGTTCGGTTGTAAGTATTATGAGACATGTAGATTTGTGTATATCCTTGTCTGTAGGTCAGTAAACATGTAAACTGGTTTAGATAAATATACAACTGATATTGCTGCTCAATTTGTATATATTGTGTATCTCCTACTAAATATTGATCATATATTCAGACAACTAGAGTACCGCAGTATTTAACAATTTAATTTATATGACTGTTGAATTTTAATTTACAACCAATAAATGTTCTATTTTTATCTTTATTTATCTTAGTTTATTCACATACATTTATTTTCCCATTTGCGTGTTTATATTATGTATATATATATATATATATATATATATATATATATATATATATATATATATATATATATATATATATATATATATATATATTATAATAATAATAATAATATTTATATAATAATAATATTAATAGTAATAATATTTCAACAAATCGTTTGCTTATGTATTTCATATGACTTATGTCCTCAAAGGTATATAACAATGTCTGACTGTGACCATTTTATTACAGAGGCCCCTTCAGTCTGGTGCGACGGTGTGTACACAGGGAGACAGGTCAGCAGTTTGCAGTCAAGATTGTCGATGTGGCCAAGTTTACCTCAGCTCCCGGCCTCTCCATCAATGGTGAGTAATGCTAGAGAAAAAGGTTTTATTTTTTCATCACTGGAGAGGGATTCTGGAGAAAGGTTTGCTTTTCCATCAATGGAAGGCACCTCGGGGTGGGGGGGGGTCTAGCCCATCCCCGCCCCACCTGTTGTACTCTCTATGAGAAACGAGTGTTGGCGCTTGATAAGACAGGTGAATTGCCTTGTTTAATATAAGTCAAACCATTTCTCACACGGGCGATGATAGCTATGTGTATGTGCCACTATATAAAGCAAAAACACATGAAGCCTAATGTAATAATAATTTGGAGGTTGTCGAGGTCTTGATTACGAAATAATCAGCCAGTCTCTTGTTGTATCTGAAAATGAACTCTCTTAACAACGCCAACTGCTCAATCTAAATAATCAATTTATTAATTGCAGTAACTATACCAAGTATTAAGTGCACCAGCCTCATATTAACTGTAGTAACTCTGGCAGCTAACCAATCAGGCTGTCTCATAGTTAAGTTGCCCAGATCGCTTCCCCTACTAATCACGCCACGAGCTCAGTAAAGCTTAATGGAGATCCCGGGCTGCCTGAACCTTCCTTCATTCTGCGCCGGTTAAGTCGTCTGTTAGTTCCCCGTCATACCGGATATTAGTGGAGATTGTATTGCAGCCGGATGGCGGGAAGGGTTGTTAAGGAGACCGGACTGTGTGTGTGTGTTGTGAGAAAGTCTGATAGCGTAAGATTTCTTATGCAGCCGGATAGCGGTAAGGGTTGTTAGACGTCAAGATGGGAGTGAGGGTGGTAAGTGAGCCTGCCGGATGACAGGATTATAGTTGTACTGTAAGTGTTGTGTGGAAACCGGATGTGTGTAAAACTTGTAATGTGACCGGGTGCTTTTATTCTAAGGTTGAGTGCATTGATTTCCGTTTGTGGTGTACAGAGTTCCAACATTATTTCTAAGGCTATGGCGCCTTGATATAAATAAAAAATGAAGCATACGGAATTCTGTATAAGTTGTACAGTTACCAATATCCGGATGCTATAGAGCGCTATCGTGCCGATAACATTGGAATATTGGTAAGCAGTGCACAACAGCCGGATATTGATACACAGTGCACTGCACTGCGTCTCTTCATTACTAATAATTGTAACCTGAATAGTGCAAAGGATCGTAGATCATTTGGACGGTGATTATAGTTTTGTTCGTTATCCGAATTTAAATGAATTCGGTACCCGTATAAGTGAGTTGTCTGACGTTTGGTTGTCTGTAAGTGGTGTCCGGTATGTAGACATCGAATAAAGATAATTTCTCTATAGTAATGTGGGTTCCGGATTAATGGTTCTTCGAATTGCTGTGTAGTTTTCCGAATACGTATGTGATAAGAATTATGTAATCACCCTGATAAAGATGTAATGGATGAAAAAAATCCTCTTTATTAGACCTATAAATAATTCTGAGACAGTAAATCATCGTACTAGATAATAAATCATCACAAATAATTAATCATCGTAATAGACAGTAAATTATCGTAACAGATAACTAATCGTCATATTAATACCCATCTAAAATACCCATGTTAGTTACCGAACATACTCAGTTAAGAGAATTACAAAGCTTAACCATTTACCTCAGCATTATTTATAGGACCATGTGAAGTTATTCCAAAATTCGTGAAAAAATCATTTTTAAACTAGTGGAAAGAGAACTCACACGGATAAGAATTAAAAATGGTCAAGATTATCAAAGATTTCTCTATAAAAGTAAACATAAACCAGGCTCCGGATAAGAGGCAATATCCGGATAAGTGGAAATATAATTTAATATTTGAATAAGTTGTCTGATGCAAAACAAAAATAACACTTCACGTTCAGAATTATTAACCATTGCGAAAAATTATCTTAAAATTGAGTGGGAATGTTTTGACAACCGCATGAAAATTATCCAACATATCTGTAATGATTAACGGAAACGTGTGCATCAGACGTCTAAAGGTAATTAAATTAAAGTGCCTCTTTCTGGCAGGAGATTAGTGCTGCAATAAACACCTAAACGGCTCGGGTGATGCAAATTATTCTGCTTGATCTCCATACTGTTCTTCCCCCTCTCACTCTCTTCCTTAATTACATTTGTCCAGGAATTTTTATTTCTCATTTGGCCTTTTTTTTTCTAGGTAAAAACAAAATCATGGCTACTTCTTTGTGATTATCCTTATTTCGGGGCCATATTCACCCATGTATATATCGGAGTATATTTGTGATATGCATCATATGCACTTATTCATGACCCTAAATATTAATTAGACCCTAAATATGACCATCTTCATTTTATATCTTGCGACGTCGTGTTCAGGGGGCGTTTTTATTTCAGGTCCTCTACTTAAGCTTTTACAAGTCCTCTAAACTTTCTAGTCCAGGTTCTCAATGTTTCCTTCTCCAGGTCCTCAGTGTTTGCTTTTCCAGGTACTATATACTTGCCTCTCCGGGTCCTCTTCTTGCTTTTCCAGGTTCTTTATACTTTTCCAGGTCTTCTGTACTTTCTTCTCCTGGTCTTCTATGCTTGTTTCTTCAAGTCCTATATACTTCTCCATGCAGACCATAGGTGCGATCCGTTCCTTTCTTCAATGTAGCGCACAGTTGTGGTTCTTTCTACTATACAGCCCACAAGTGCAGTTCTAGCACAGGTGTGTAGATCCCACAGGTGTGATCGCTGCTTATCATACAATCCACACGCTTGGTCTCTGCCTGCTGAGCAGCTCACAGGTACAGGAAAGTATTGATATTTTTCTCTTGTCAACAACAATGGGCGGGCTGCGGATATCTTATTGGTCCCATTACTTTTTATTGGCGATTGTTTCAGTTATTTGGAATGCAAAAATGAGTTGACTTTTTTCTTATCTTATGTACAATATATATATATATATATATATATATATATATATATATATATATATATATATATATATATATATATATATATATATATATATATATATATATATATATATGTCGTACTTAGTAGCCAGAACGCACTTCTCGGCCTACTATGCAAGGCCTGATTTGCCTAATAGGCCGAGTGATTTTATTTTCAACAAAATGTTTCCAATTGGTTTATTTCAATTATTATTATTTTATTATATTAAGAACATAAATAATTGACCTAGTTATGTTAGTTGAGTTTAGGTTAAGATAGGTTAGGTAAGGTTAGGTAGGAATGGTTAGGTTCTGTCATATATCTACGTTAGTTTTAACTCAAATTTAAAAAAATAAAGTCATACATAATGAAATGAATAGCTTTATCATTACATAAGAAAACAAAATTGAAAAAATATATAAATTCAGGAAAATTTCGTTAGGTAAACATGAGGGTAAAGAGTAAGACATAAAGAAGAAAAGAAGCTGAGGATCAGAAGGCTAAATAGGGTACACACAAAGATTAATCAAGCGTATTGGGCACTGTTAGTTGAGCAGTGTCTTCTATGTTGGCATCTTCATGTTCTGGTCTTGTTCTTACTCTCATGGTGGGTAGAGTGAATAGTTCCATGATTTGTGTATTCATGGTAGGTTGTTCTATTTTTATGTGGATTGCTTCAAGAATTTGTAATCTTCTTACATCTTGGGTTCTGTCTATTATACAGGTGTTTTTATTCAGCATTTCTCTTGTTAGGATGGAGATGTCATGGGCTTGTCTCATATGATTTCTAAGGGCCCCGGATTGAAGGTGACAGGTCAAACGCCTCGTCAGCTTGGTCGACGTCATACCTATGTACTTAGATTGAAAGTTACATCCTTCATGGGGGGCAAGTGTACATGTATACAACGCTTGACTGCTGTAAAGAGTTCTCCGTCGGCTTTGGGCTGTTTTTAATAAGGAGGTCGGTAGCCTTATTTGTTTTATAGAATATGATCAGATCCATTTGTATTCACCTGACCCACTATTAGTATTAATATAATGACCTGTACTGTAACATCACTTGAGAATGAACCATGTAGGTTCGAAACGTTGTGCAATTGTATAATAAGTGTAATATATTCTATAGTTATTCACTTTTTTCTTCTTGAAAAACGAACATGACTTTTGGAGAACTCTTTCAACTAAACCCTGATGCAAGAATAATAGTTAGAGGGATAGAAGCCCTAAACCAGAAGATAGTTAATACAGAATATGCGGTCATATTCAGCAAGACATTTTTAAAAGAAATCCTGATATATATATATATATATATATATATATATATATATATATATATATATATATATATATATATATATATATATATATATATATATATATATTTTTGTATCAACCCATGTATATCTTGTAACTATATATATATATATATATATATATATATATATATATATATATATATATATATATATATATATATATATATATATATATATATATATATATATATAAACGTTTTACATTAGTGAAGCAAATTGTGTACATTTTCCTGTTTGAGGATGTTGGATCTCAAAACAGGAAAAATATACGTAAGTAAGAGTTTAATGGTTGGTAACCGAAGAAAAAATTATATTTTACCAACTGTTATTTAAAAAATATCTGAATCATTAAACTTTATGGGGAAACCTTTTATATTTTTATATTTATTGTATTTATACTCTCGCATGTCTGTATATATTTCACTACTCAAACAGGTATTTACCAATAAATAAGGTTTTAACCAGCTATTACAAAAGTATTTTCCATTGAAGTAAATGCGAGCCTTAATTTCGGGAGGGCTTTTATCTTCCCGCCTAGCGCCCAGATCTGCTGGGAATAGCAGAGCAAGTGGTCTGCTAACAAGCAGGAATACGTGCCTAATCCCAGCCAAATTCAATTAGGTAACCAATCGGAAGTAAGATTTCCATTTGGTTGCCGAAGGAGTCGTTTGTTACAGACGCCGTTCTTGGGCAGGGCCAGTATGGTGCATCTCATGGGAATGAAGTAGGTTGCTGGGAAAGAGCAGAACTGGTTTAAGGAACAGGCCACACGGAGAAAGAAACAAAGAGCTGTAGCGTTAG